CTTTTCTATTTTTCTTTTAAACCTCTGCAAAGAACGGACATTCAGGTAGTACTGGATAAAGTTAACCTTTATTTCGATCAACTTTTAACAACATGTTTTGCCTAATCTAGTAACGCAAAGCAACCTGGTAGGCGAACAAATAATAATGAATATATAAAAATTGGAACTGCTTTAACTTAATTCTATAGATATATGTCTTCCAGTTTTGTTCAGTGTTGATTAATATCAATTTATCCAATAATGATCTCATACGAAGAACGTGTAATCAGCTGGTTATCGAAAATAGCATGTACAGTCCGTGGCCAATTTATTAGACGCACTATATGATTCTATGTAAAATCTTCATTATCATGTGATACTCTATACAGCTCTATTGTTTTCACCCCGGTTTGCACTTGTTTACGTTCGTGTATCAATTAGTTAATATTGTAATGCAATACGTTAAAAAAATAACATAATAATGCAAATGCACTAACGCAAACAAGTGCAAACCGGTTTCAGTGGGGTAAAAACAATAAAGCTGTATAGTATCACCTGATAATTAAGATTTTACATAGAATATTATACTGCGTCTAATAATTTGATCAGGCACTGTAGGTTATAATTGTTGTTTTTTCTAGCATTTAAGAATTTTTTTTTTTTTTTTTTTTTAAGGGCGTGGAATTATTTATCGCCAGCCTTAAACTCAATTGCAAAAACATCTAAAATTATCAGTAGACAACGCTTACTTTTGAAATAATTGCCAAAAATGCATCGAACCATTGATCTATCTATAACATTCCTCCTCAATGTTCTGCACTTTATAGACAACGACAATAACGGTTAATAAAATACTGACGTTTTAATTACGGTTTTTCAATTACAACCTTTAACATGCATTCTTCAATGCGTAGAAAATGAAATGGCAGACATTGAAAATCTTATTTTTAAAAAAATGTCTCATTAAAAAAAAAAAAAATTCAATTTGAGCACATTGCTACTTTTAATCTCTTTAAACAAGGAGTTCCTAAAAACAGGAAAAAATTAATCCTCACAAAGGAAAAGCTGTCACGGGAAATGGAAGAGGGGGGAGAGAGAAGAATTGCGATAATTCTTAGACAACCATCGGGCACATTTCGTGATTTCTATGTGCGTGAGAGATCGAGGGGTTACCCCCGAAGCGTGAACGCGCAAAATACCTGCCCCCCCCTTCCCAACTTCCATATAATATTTTTGCTAATATATTGACCGTGTTGAACAGTGACGTTTTAGGTGCCGCCCCATACACCAGATGTCTTCATTCAGTTATGATGCATAGAGATGATAACATCTTTGAGTTGATTGAGTTGGAATTTTCTCATTTACTTATTCACAAATCTTCCCATTCGACTCTTTCAATTTAGGTGCACTCAATCCGACGCTAATGTGTTTTTACGAACCATTTATTTCTTTTCGTTTTTTTTGTTTTTTGTGTTCTATAATTAAATACGATGTGCGCCACGTCTACTCAAATATTGTTGACAATAATATTAAATTTTTAATATAAATACAAAGCATAATACCCAAGTCCAAATTCTTGATGGTGTGATTCATGATGGTCCAACATCATTTGATGGTCATAATTATCCAACATTGTGTTCATGGTTTTTGATATAAAAGCAAAATCCCATCATTTCATGATTTAAAATGTTACTTTAATACAATGATGGTTAACCATCAAGCGAAGTTTGATTCTCATGACCCAACATTTCATGATGGTTCGAACTGTACATTTTTATGATGGTTTTATGAGAAAAACTAAATTGCTTTGATGGAATATACTCTAAAAACAATTTTTTTTTTTTTTTTTACATTGGCCCATCCTAGAACAGTTCGAATTATTACATTGAGATGATGGTTGTTCAGGATCGATCCAACATTTGATGTCTAAAAAACTGTGATGGAAATTTCTGATGGTTTAACACGAACAAACCATCAAAAAAAGTTGTTAGTCTTCTGTTGGACCATCATAATCAGTCCGAATTCCTACATTGGGGTGATGGTTACTTAGGTTGGCTACCATCAAAAAATATAATGGTTCATGATGGAATTATTGATGGTTACCATCACGTTACGATGGTTACCATCAAGTTACGTTCATCAATGTTACGTTGGACCATCAATGGAGAACTGTCAAAAAATTTTACTTGGGTATAACGTTTATACAGTGGGACCCCGACTTAACGAATTCATAGAGACCGAAAATATTATTCGCCAAATCGAGGATAATTCGTAATATCGAGAGGAGAAATCAATTAAAAATTGACTAACCTTATGGAATATCCGAACATCTCTAATAAGCAAATACCCAAAATAAATACAAATCTTTCACTTTTTATTTAGGAACTTAAAATACAACGAATGATTACGCGCTGATTGATTTGAAATTTTAAAGCTTTAAAGTTTGCTTATTTCTCCGATTTCTTACTTTAAAAAGTTATTTTTCGAATTCATGAAAAGAAGAAATTTACATCTTGTTGCATTGGGTAAGTTTTCACTGTTTCCAAAGCATCAGAAAAAGTAACAGTTTTCATTGAAGATTCATAATCATCGACTTCTGTGTCATAGTTGATATTCATTGTTTGCAATAAATCTACTTCATTAACATCATAAAATTCGTTAAATCGCGAGATTCGGTAAATAGGAGTTCGTTAAACCGGGATTCAACTATATATGTTACTATGAATGACCGAAATTGGTGGTTGTTGACTTTCAGCGGTGAATGTTGACAATAACATATTCGCTCTGGGAAATATCCGAAATATATACTAGGTCTATTTAAGTGCCATTGAACAGTAAGCCAAACGTCAATGCTTTTTTAAGGTCAAGTGCCACTGCCCAGTGTATGCCAATGAAAACTCGGTTGTCTTTTTTAGCGATCTCATCTGAACTGCTATTAAACTAATATTATTTGATACACTTATAGTGGACAAATGAAAATGTGGGTCGTTAGTTTATAGTGGATGCAAAAATTTCTTTTTTGCAGTTACTTTAAAAAATGCTACAGAATTTTAAGTCCATTTTTTATATACTCAAAAGTATATAAAAAATAAATAACATGGATTAAATTAATCAAATTATAAAGCAAAGTTAAGAAATCCTCCATATTATTATTCTATGCTATGCTAGGATCAATAATGCAAGTAATTTCAGAAGCAAATTGGTTGCACACAAATTCCAAGCCTTTAAATTGTTTAAAAAATAAAGGAAATCAAAAAGATAAACTACTGAAAAATTCGATATAGGCGGACTTTATTATATGGTGTACATTCTGAGTAATGCTACAATATAAATGTTGTTCTTGGGAGAAATTCGCTGTGTAGAGCCCTTCGTTGTTAGGAGACTATTGAATTATTGTTAGTTAATAATTTTATAAGCAAATTATGTACATTGCTTTCAACAAAATGTTTTTTCAATGTTTTTTTGCGTTATACCTTCAAATAAGAATTCATTTATTGACTTATACCTTTAAATAAGAATTCATTTATTGCGTTATACCTTTAAATAAGACTGCAAAGCATTGCACGGTTTATCCTAAATATGAATATAGGGTTAAAGCAGTGAGAGGGGGGGGGAATGAAAGCACGATGGCGGGGTGGTAAAAGAGGGGAAAGGGGCCCTACCTTCTAATTGCATTCTGGCGTAAAAAATAACCGCCAAAACTCAACCTCCCTTGTTTCGCCTGTCAGGGGAGGGAAAGAGGTAGATACACCCGCCCCAACAGTGATGAATCGAAAGGTGTGACATAATTAATTAACCTATCACAAGATTCTCTAACAAAGACATTTAGTTATAACACCTCAACTCCCCTCTCAAGCCTTTTAATGGCTTATTTATTTACTTTTTTTTCTTCCTTATGCTCCCTCCCCCCTTCCTTTTTTCCTGTTAGATGTAAAATGCTATTTATGAGTTTCTATGCTCTGATTTATTATTATTTTTTAATTATCTTTTAGGTATTCCGTAATGTAAAGATCAGCTTATAATTATTGATTATTATTCGGATCTCAATACTGTTTTATTTCAGATTTATTTGTTTTTCTAATTAAGATGATAGTTATTTTTAAGTTATTATTTTTTTTTACTATAAAACACAAAATCATAGAACATGATGTTTCCAGTTCAGCCTTCCTTTGATTCATCTCATTTTATTACAGTTTTCGTTTTTTCTTCGCTTAAATATTAATTTGCAACCGCTATCGTGAGTATGCTTATGTCTTCCTTTTTTATTTATTTATTTATTTTGCAAAAAATGTTTATCAAGGGGATGATTACAGCACCTAGTGCTCAAAATTTAAAAAAAAAGAAAAAATATACACTTTGAATAACGTTTGATCTAATGATCGGATTTTCATTTTAGTCAACTCAGTCTTAAGGGTTTCAGGGTCTCAGGGTTAGGGCTAATACGCTAATTAATGTATGAATATGATAGTTTAAGCTTAAAATCAGACACAAAAATTTGACAAGTTCTGATACTTAGAACAAAAATCAGTTAAAATCTTAGAATATATTAGCGATTTTCTGAAATCTCGCAAAGTTGGTGATAGTTACTAGGATCAACGTTGCTTTGTGATTATTAAAAAAAATAAAAAATTTAAAACCATAAATGGCGAAAAAATAAACCCTTTAACCATTTCTCTAACGAAATTCAACTTTCGCGTAGGTTTTCATATCAAACAACCAATCAGGTTTAAGAATTTTGACGGTGTGATCCTGGTGTAATCGGACGTTCAAAATAATCTCCCTACAATATCTTCCGGAAAATTAGTTTGGCCAGATTTCAAAAACTTGCTTGTCGAGATTTAAAAAAATCACTACGTTGTGGGCTATTCTAGGATCCACCCCAAAAATTATTAATTATTATTATTTTTAATAATAATGGAATCTACGCGGAAACAGCGTTACAGAAATTTCAAAGGTGTTATGAGTTTTGCATATCCGGTGCCAATTAAGTCACTGATCAGGCATTTTTTTTTTCATTGCAGGTTTGGTTCCAAAACAGGCGCGCCAAGTGGCGGAAGAAAGAAAACACAAAGAAAGGTCCCGGCAGGCCGGCACACAATGCACACCCCCAGACATGTTCCGGAGATCCTATTCCACCAGAAGAGATTGAGAAGAGAGAAAGAGATCGGAGAGAAAAGAAACTCAGGAAGCAACTGGAGAGACAAGCAAAGAGACTGCAACAAGCGAAAGTCAAGCCAGGAGTCAATGTTGCCAGTCTAAGGTAAAGAAACTAATAACAAAAATTTTAATGTTTTCTGACAACTCAAATTAAATAAATACTAGGTGGCGTTAGTGATTAGAATTAATAATAAGACTATCGGGTTACTTTATCCTGTTTATTTTATTAATCTTAAAAAACAAGGCATTCTATCTAAGATATCAAAATAAGGTATATTTTAACTCAGAAAAAACCTTTTAATGTAAACCAGAAAAGGTTTGTTGTGCGGTTTACGTATAAACCTTGTAACCTTAGAACGAGATCTGTGGCAATCTGCTCTATTCTACTCACGTTACCCTAATGCAAAACCTTGAGAACCAACCTTCTAAATAAAAACCTTAAATCGAAGTTGACTTAAGGTTTTCAAACGTTAAAAGATCCTTGAATAAATTTAGTCTTAGGGGGAAAATAATCTTAAATCTAGATAATTATAAGGTTTCTTTTCGCAAAGTCTTGTATACTCAGCTAAAATCCACCTTGTCTTGAAATTTTAATGGACAATACAATCGAAGATTCTCTGTCGTCGCATAAAATAACGCTTTCTTGCTATTCCATAACGCATATATATAAAATAACGCTTTCTTGCTATGAGTTTACTGTGTGGATGTACTGTGTATAGCCTCAGACTATATCTTTAAGAATCCAATGATGGATTATCCGGCCTAATCAAAATTTGCCAAAATTTAGAATTATAGATTGATTTTTATCCAGATGAGGGGGGGGGGGTAANGGGGGGGGGGGTAATATGTCGCGAAATTGGCAATTTTTAAGAAACGTTTAATAACTTCTTAAATATTTAAGTTCGTTTTGTGCGTTCTAAAGCCTGCATGATGGTAAACATAGTTTAAAATTATAGTTCGTCTTAAGGGTAAAGTATTTAACAAGTGGGATTTTTTTTAATTATTTTTCGAAAGACTTTTGGAAAACACAATTAATAATTTTCATCCGTGTAGAAAAATCAAGCCAAATTTGGAGACGTTTAGAATTTTTTTTAAATATTTAAGTCACATATCCCTTTTAAATTCCAGATAACCTCATTTCAGAAAAATAGTTTAAAACATGAAAAGTGCGTTAATTTGAAGTTGTTTATTTATGTGAAAATTTATTCGATGAATTAAGTTTAAATTGTTTATTTATGTGAAAATTTATTCCATGAATTAAGTTCAAATTGTTTATTTATTTGAAAATTTATTCCATGAATTAAATTTAAATTGTTCATTTATCTGAAAATTTATTCCATGAATTAAGTTTAATTTGTTTATTCATGAGAAAATTTATTCCATAAATGAAGTTTAAATAGTTTATTTCAAAATTTATTTATTCGGGATTATAAAAATATGCAAAATTAGAGCAGTGCTATTTATTTATACCTTTATTTATTTTCCCGGGCAAAAAACATTCGTAATAAGTAAACAAATTTAAGGGGACTGTCACGCGCATCCCTGACAAATGGTTCAAATCCAAGAAGACGGTTTCTTCCCTAAAAAGCGGGAAATGTTCATAGAGTGACTTCACCTGTTTGAAGACGATTTAAACAGCTCTCAGTATACTAAATCGAAAGAGACGGAACCATTTATTTTTATCACTCCGACTTACTCAAGTATTAAAATGAAACGAGAAATGCGGGGAGATATTCTGACAGAATACCTCTCTTAACAACCCAGTATGTGAAATACATTTTCAGAAAGAACTGGAAAATATACTGTTTGTTCTATTATAAATTTTAAAACGTTTCACGCCATCAAAACAGAACTATTCATACGAGATGAATTCTAAGAAGTCCTTTCTCAAATAAATCAGCAAGTTCCTGTTTAAATCGGAGTAAACGACGAATGCAGAATTTCTTATTTTCAGTATGCACATTGTTCCAAAAACAGGAATCACCTAGAATAACTTTTCATCTAATGATCGGATCTTCACGTTCTAAGACTCAAGCTTAACACAAGAAAGACTGAAACTTAATATTTACCTACATTGCCCAAAAGCAGTCAAAATTACTGGACTGTGAAGGAATAACTAATGTATAAAGAAATTAATTAACTTTTAATATTATTTACACTTAGCTATACAACAAGTTATTAGTCAATATTAGCAATAAAAAAGTATATATATGTTGTACAAAAAGTCAGAAAATTCTAAGAAATTTTGTCATCATTGTTTTTCTAATTGAAATTAAAAAGCAGTCAAAATGACTTCCTTGGGCAATCTAGTGTTAATGATTTGAGAAAGTGATCCCGAATATGCTAACTAATTAGACGATATTTTAAGATACGAAATCAGACACAAAAACGTACTTTCTCTGAAAAACGTTTCTTTCAACTGATTCATATTTTTGACTCCCCAATTATAAGATGTAGCCTCAATCTGGAAAATAGAGTCTCCCCATAATTTGATCAGGAGAGCAGTCCGAAGTTTGGACCCTTTAATATTAAATTTACTTTTCGCCTTTTAAAGCAAGTTGTACAAGTTTTACACACAATTATAAAATTCGTTTACACAATTATAAAATAAGTTAAAGGATAAGATTACGAGATGACAGTATAATCAAGTTTAAATTGAATTTTCTTCCCTTTGAATAAAAGTGACAAGGCATTTGATGACAGTTTTCAAACTTACTCGAGTACAAAATTGTAATCATTTTCTTTCATTCTAACAACAGCCCATCAAAATGCATATGGCTGAAATATGCGCTTATCACTTGTGTAATTCATTTTGAAATATATATTTTCGTTTTTGNCATATGTTGTTCCTACTAAATCGAAGTAGTTGTGTTTTTTTCATATTATACCCAATTATAAAATAAGTTCAAGGATAAGATTACGAGATGACATCATAATCCAGTTTAAATTGCATTCTCTTCCCTTTGAATAAAAGTGACAAGGTATTTGATGACAGTTTTAAAAATTACTCGAGTATAAAATTGTAATCATTTTCTTTCATTCAAACAACAGCCCATCAAAATACAGATGACCGAAATAATTGCGCAAGTGATACTTGCGCGATTCATTTTGAAATTTATATTTTCGATTTTGGAGTTTTTATGCTACATATTCGATTTTGGAGTTAGGGGGAATAAGAGGAAAAGCATAAATAAAATTGTTGCCCTTATCAATTCGAAATATAATATTTTTTGCAAATTCAATATGTTATGTTTATGAGCGAATAAGTGAGCAACCATAAATTCTTATCTTTGGCAAATTGTTTAGTACCTTAACATAAATTAAAATTTATGTTAATTTTGATTGGACAAACAATGATCAAAATTATTATTGTTACGAATTCGAATTACAAAATTATTTGCAAAATCGAATCGAATTATGAAATTATTTGCTTAACGTTTACGAAGAAAAAGGTTCATCAATCGCACGTACCCATTTTCATTTTAAGATTGTTATTTATTATTTATTTATTGGCAAACAAGGATTAAGGCATGTGACTGACATATTGATTGACATAGTGAGCTAAATTTTAATTTCTGACACCTACCAATGTGATGGTACAAAACATCATCAAATATCAGCATAAATATTATTTTTAATCGAGATAAGCTTTCTTGATCTAAATTCATTTTTTAAAGAAAACACAACATGATTAAGTTATTAGATTTGGTAAGCTCAGTATATTTTTATATGAAAAAAAAAAATAGATGAAAGATATTAACTAATAATAGATGAGATATTAACTATTTTCTGTATAACATTTAACAATAACTGAGAACGCATAAATTTGCTGTCAAAAAATAGACAATACGCATAAACAATGTAGATAGACCGAAACTGCCAGGCAGTTTTGGTTTTCATACGAACGTATTTGCTTAAAGGAAAATAATGAACTATTATGTCTTAGAATCTAGTGAACGAGCACGAGTTGCGAAGTAATCAAAAAGGAACTGCTAGAGCTGTTCAGGTAGTTTACAAGCTACAGTAAACAGGAGACAGTCGACCCTAGTAATACAGAAAACTAGTAGAAATGTATTTACAGTCATCCTTGGGCGTAAATTGACAAAACAAAACAAAAACAATTGGCACCAGTTGTGTTAATGAAATGACGCCGAAAACAAAACATAATAGAAACATTAAACGAATAAAATGCATTTTATATCAAAATGAAACAACATTGGAAATAAATGTTGTCCAATATGCGTATTAAAAAAGAAAATATCGATTTACCTTATTTAGAGATTTTTGTGAGTATTACCAGAAATGAAACAACATCGCTTATCAAAAAAACTAACTTTGCTATGAACCAAGGACCACCTAAAAACAAATTAGAACAAAAAATTACTAATTGTTTTCAATGAATCAGAAGCATTATAACTTTTACGAAATTGCTCCATTGTTGTTCCAATGCTATTTCAATTCATTCCTCTCTATATTACAAGCTATTTCAAAATAAACATTGTGGAAACTTTATTGCCATATCTCGTCCGTAAATAGGAATAGTTCTATTTTTGCCATAAATCTTGGGGATTTCATCTTCGTGATCTGTGGCAGAATAATTGCCAGAACTAGACAACTTCCGGGCTGTGAGAACCTTTAAAAAAAACAAAAAAACAGAGAGGGACCAACTCGAAAGGTATATCTCGCAACCACTACCTGGTAAACTTGTGCATGTGTTTTTTTTTCTTTAATTGTATGTTTAAAATCTATCAGGCAACTTGGCGATTGTTGATGGCACGACAGATCACAATAAGGATATATCGCCATAAATTTTAAAACTTTTTAAGTCAATGTATATGTGACTATTACTGTATTCGAATTTTTCTATTACAGTGAAGCTATCTACCAAACGCTAGGAGAGCTGAGGCATCTCAACAAGCTAAAAGACGCCAGGGATCTCGTGGGCGTCGAAACCTACACTCTTCTGGGCACGATGGGTTTCGACGTCGTGGACGCGATGACCAGGGCCAGCAAAGGACCCCTCACTCACTGCACGAACAGTGGAGGCAGCAGCAGTCTGGGTGACGTCAACGTCTGCTCCATGGAGGACGACGACGACAACTCTGGCGACGACTACCCCACCAACAGCAACTCCCCAACCAAAGTTCTGAGTGACTTTCACCACCTGCACCACCGACCACCCCAATTGTTGGTGGGACAGAAAGTGAATCCTTTCAGCATAGAGAACATTCTAGCCGAGGACAAAGGGGTTAGCAAAGGAGATCGGGCCTCCCTCCCTCCCTATGTCACCCAGCCAGTTGGTTTTCTTGTGAGATCCCAGTTGGCGAGTCCGGACTCTTGCCAATCCAGTGATGTGTCCCCCAGTGATTACAGTGCACCAAGCAGTCCTGTAGGAGACACTAAACTAGGACAAGATCATTCTGATTCTGAGTCAGAAGAGGACGAACTAGAACTTAGACTGCGTCTTCAGGAGGGAGAGGACAGGAACGTTTTAGTGGTGCCCTGCAGTCCTCCCCCTTCCCAGCGGTCACCGTTAATAGGAAATGACAGTCATTTAAGGCATAGTGTACAGCAAAACCTTTAAAACTTTATGACTTATAAATTAATTTATGTAAAAACAAAAAATGTATTATGTTTTGTGTGGAAAAAAACTCCTATCGGTGAAAACAAAGTTTTAGCAAATCAATGGCCTCTTCGGCGGTAGTATTATCATTGACTTTATTTATTGTAAATTAATTAATTCAAAAGTGTACAAGTTTTATTTGCACACATTTTTCTTGTAATATGAAAATTGAATAATTTATTTGGCGATATTTTATGTAGTTATTCAAAATTATGGATATCACACGTCTTCAAGCTGTTGTTTGAAATAGTCCCGCAAGAACTTAAAATGTCTGCTTATCTAAAATGTCTAATGTCTGCTGGTCTAAAAAGGAAGTTATAATTCTTTAGTCGAAAGTTTAGTGTTTATTGACATTTCCGGTCCGAAGCCAAAGAAGCTCGCTACCATATGGTTGTCGCGAGCACCCAAAGCACAGAACTTGTTCTGTTGTAGAAATTTTTTGCACTTTTTCTATTAATTACAGAAGATTGCAGTCGATTTGTGTAAATATTTATTATTTTTATTGCATAAAAAACAATGAAATAAAAAAAATTCAATAATGCTTTTATTTTAATTATTTCTAATGAAAAAAAATTGAATTAGAACTGTAATACAATAATAAATAATACTAAAATAAATAAATATGTGATGCATCGATTTTTTAAGTTCCAATACGAAATCAAATATTATAAAAAAATAATTACACCATCTATCTCTCTATAAACTTAGTTTTTCTTTTACTCCAAGCTGCAAAAATAAATAANAACAAATATTATTTCGTTACATTGGGATTACTATTCGTATGAAAAATCAATTTACAGTTTTGATATTATTTTTTTAATCTAGATTTGGGAAAATATCAATGTAATATTAAAAGAGCGCACAAAACTAATGTAAACAATGAATTTATTAACACTTACTAATTAGGCAGATACATAATCAGTAATTTTTTTCTGAACAAACAATTTAGAACCAGTAGAAATTAAAAAATTTATAAATTATTTTATAAAAAAATAATTACACCATTTATCTCTCTATAATCTGTCTATATAATATTTTTCTTTTACTCCAAGCTGAATAACTAAATAAGTAAAATAAAAATTCCGACCGAAATTGTTTCTGAAAAAATACTTTCTTGTTACTTTATATTTTCTTACATCCCGTGTTAGAAACTAACTTATTTTTTAGTTCTTACATTTGCTAAGTGTTGGGTGTTCACGACTGCTCCATTTCAAATGAAAAATTTAAATTATTTGAATCGTTTAAATTATTTAAATCACTATTTCTGTTCACGCCTACTCCATTTCAAATAAAGAATTGAAATTATTTGTATCTTTTAAATTATATGAATCATTTAAATCATTTGAATCACTATTTTTGTTCACGACTGCTCCATTTCAAATGAAAAATGTAAATTATTTGAATCATTTAAATTATCTGAATCATTATTTTTGACATTGTATTGGTAAAGTTGATCAACTTGAAAAACTCAAAAAAATTATGTCTATCTTTTGCAAACAAAACAAAAAGTCCTAATCAAGAAGTTATTTTTCCCATAACTATGGTAATATAAATTTCATTAATAATTCATCAATTATAAATTGATTGAAAAAACTAGGTTTAGTTTTCCAGTTAGTAGTAGTTTTATCAATTTTGAAATTAACATCGTTAGCATATGAAATAGATCTTTAAATTTATCGGCAGAACGTACAACAAAAACTGCCTTTGTAAATTTAATAACATCGCAATTTTTAAAAAGCTTTCTAAGTATATTTTCTTAATGTGAATTGAACATAAATAGTAAAAAAATGATATACATATTTGTAGCAGTTTTCTACAGAAGCTAATTTTTGACCTTAATTTTGAAACGTCATAAATGCTTGAAAGAGTAGCAGACAAACAAAATACCCTAAGTTTTCATATAATGCAGAAAGTCTTGCTTCTTTTTTTTGCCAGTTTTTTTGCATTATTTATCCCAACACACTGTTAATTTATAAGTTACTAATAATCTTTTAAGTTACAAAGATATCATTATACGACACGGTATCGTAAAGGATTACTATATTTTTTCTAACATAATCAAGTGACTGATTTGTTTTTAATTATTATTTATTTATTTATTCACCACTAATGATGCATTTCGGAATGTTAGATTTTACCAGGGCTCGAAAAACCTTAATAACAGAAGATTGCAGTCNATTTATTTAGAAGCTACGGGTTAGTTTCAAAGGAGGACGGGTACATTGTTGGACAAGCCGTCCTCGGGGACGGGTAAAATTTCTGAGTTTTTTCGAGCCCTGGATTTTACCATGATCATTTTAGAATTCATGAGTTATTTACCATTGTCAAAAGGAACTTAATGACCTTGATATCTAAAAATTTTGAGAAACTATGTTGCCGTGAATGACCGATATCGAGAGAATGTCGACCTTCACCGGTAAATGTCAATCAATAAATGCATAACCGCTATTGTGAATGTCTAAAATATTTGCTGTAACCGATTTGATATTATTTTATTCGTTGATATTATTATATTTATTCGATATTTTAATATTTGCCGAGGAAAGATTAGGAGAAACATTAGTGTAGGTTGTACCGGACAAATATATATCAGACAGTAGCACTTAACTAGATCTAGTATATCTTCCTGACATTTACCAAATCCACTATGTGATTGTCAACATTCACCGGCAGAAGTCAGCAACCACCAATTTCTGTCATTCATGGTAACAACTATACATGGTAACAACTATATATATACATGTATATTTTACCAGCTACACGAATATTTTCTATGCACACCAGTATTTCATGACTTTGCTTCATTAATTTTAATTATTTCAATAAGGGCTTTGAAACAATGTCGAAGACGCAAGTCATACTTCATACATTTACACAAAAAGCTTTTAAAGTGGTTTTAAAAAACATTCCATATTCGACTTAAAGGATACCAACATTTTTAAACTTTGAGGTATTAATCGTTTTTATTTATGTCTCGCTCGTTCTTTAACTGAAAATCTGATGCAAAATTAACTCCAAAGATAACTCATATTCATTATAAGCTATTAATTGAATAATTATCTTCCGTATTAAGTCTTTTGAAAAATAATAATTTTTAATAAAATTTCTAGACACTAATTATTACTTTATAACAACAAAAAAATTAAAATTCTGATACGACCATCTAAATCCTTTCCGTAAGTTATTCTTAAAAATTAGAATTTTATTCTTTTCATCGGACACAATAACGAGTTATAGAATAATTGCCAAATTTTACTCTTTTTGAGGAAGAATTCGTGCTGCATTGTAAAAAAAAATTTTGCATTTTCACACCACAATTACTTTATAACAAAGAGGTGCAGTAAGAAAATACATATACATTTTGATTCTTTTTTTGTTGTGTCACTAGAAACTATCCTTTTTTTCATGTTGTGTCACAAGAAACTATCCTTTTTTCTTGGTGTGTCACTACACCAAGAAAAAAAGATAGTTTCTAGTGCATTGAAGCTCCAAGAAAGTTCTTAAATACTTTGTGAAATACTACCACCATTTTATGAATATTACGAAATCGAATGAATTTAGCAAGACGAAATTTATAGCTACAGTACGGATTAATTTAGATAACATATATATGTTACTGTGATTGATAGAAATTGATGATTGCTGAATTTCACCGGTGAATGTTGATAATCACATAGTCGCCTTGGTAAATGTCTGAGAAGAATGTACTAGGTCTAGTTGAACGTCATTGCCCGGTATTCTCTACTCTGAAGTTCTAAGATTCAGTGCCACTGCTTGGTAAATATTTGCCCGGTATGCCCTACATCAATGTTTTTTCAATTCCTACTATTAGTTCACAACTCTTCCTATATCTTGTTCAAATTTTCAATCGTTTATAAAACACTTTTTATTCATCCAGTTCAAATATTTTTTTTAAAACTTGCAGTGGATAACACTTGATGTTAATACAGTTTTTTTCAAATATTAATTCATGAATTAACTTTAATTAATTAAATTTCAAAAAATAATTATAGTTTTATATGTGAGATAAAATTGTAATTATTTAATAAAAAGTAACTAAAGTGAAATTTTTCTTTGTTGACCTAAGTGGGAATTAACTTAAATTTTTTTTATACTTATTTAAGGTCAAGTGCCACTGCTTGGTAAATATTTGCCCGGTATGCCCTACCCGGTATTGCCCGGTATGCCTTGTACAGATCTGCCCTATATGCTCTTAACAGGTACTCCGAACACTGATATGTTTCTCCTAATCTATCCTCAGCAGATATTAAAATATCGAATAAATATAATAATATCAACGAATAAGTTAATATCAACTTGGATAAAACAAATATTTCTGACATTCACCAAAGCGACCATGTGATTGTTGACATTCACCGATGAAAGTAGACGCTCTCTTGAGTTCGGTTAATCACCGTAACATATACACTGATTCTTAAGATAAACAGTGCTGTATGGAAATTCAGTATTATAAAAATATTTAATACAATTGATTGATATTTAAATATAATTACCCTTAATACGCATCTAAAAGCACGCATGCATTTCGAATGGGCGAACGTTTTGTAGACAGCACAGAAAATAACAACAGTTTCGTAATTGATTGTAAACAAACTGTTGGCGACATCCAAAGTATGCCAAAATTGGCGTTATCGGTGGCAAAAGTAATTCATGAATAGTGTAAATATAGGGAGCTTAGTGTGAGATTCTCCATTGTTGATGCTTTGCTTAAAATACACTCTTTAATGTGTGTAGGAACGCTCTGTTCGGTATTAACTTGAAAGGAAATGTTCATTCACACAGTTTTTTCAGTTTTTCAATGCTTAATTCACACAAAAAATGTCAAGGTATTGCACCAATTTTTTTTTTTTACAGTGCAAATCACTAAATGATTACCAAGTCTTCAATTTTTTAAACGTCATGATTGTGAGAATTATTTAAAATCAGATTGTAAATTCGAATCAAATAAGGGGCAAGAAAATAGTAAGCAGCATTTTTAAATTACTCCAGAGTAATTAAAACGAGAGACTATTTTAAGAATAATTTTAGATAAAACATGATGATTGCCATGTAGGCAAAAAAGAAAGTGTTATTATTTCAAATGAAAAA